CACTGAGGGTTGCGGTCTGTTGCCGGACACGAAAAAAGACAAAAAGGAAAAAAAAAAAAACAGTACAGTTATATCTTAGTGTTTTTCTGCCCTTTTTAAAGAGGTTAGTATCCATTATTAGTTGGGACTCTTATGTGACATGGTGTGGCTTTAGCTAACTATTCTATTAATGGCATTTAAAAAAATCATTTTGGGGCTGGCTAGTTAGCTCAGTTGGTTAGAGCATGGTGTTATAACTGGTGTTATCCCTGTACCAGCCACTTGCCCAAAAAAAAAAAATGTCATTTTGGACCTTTTTAAGGTTATAGTTCATCAGTTTTTTGGGTCTGATGGATTAATATAGGTTATAATTTATGTGATTTGGACAGATATTTTAAAAACTAGTTTAAATATTAAAAACAATTTTGAAATGCACAGTTGCTTTAATTTTTTCAATATATTCTTACTTAATAAAGATGAGTTCAAAACCAGTTTTATCATGGCAAAATGATATGTATTTTCTAAAAGCACACTGGCACCTACCTACTACTGAAGCACTATTGATTCTAGCCCACATTTTATCATTTTGTACCTCATTCAAAGATGGCACTAATTAATTGCTAAAGTTCAAAAAGGTCCTCAGCTTAAAGCAACTTTAATCACTAATGAACGCAAAAACTATTATAGTAAGCGGTGATTTGGTTTCATTCTCAAAAGCACCACATTTCTAAGAGACAAATATATTTCACCTGGTCAGTATACAGGAGCCCAACTCCTATGTCTACATTCCATAAGCAATAGCTACTCAAGATATTTTTGAAGTAATTCTGCTCTTGGTGTTGTTAAGACATATGTCTCTACCCATGTCATCATGTAAAAATACCCCTGCTGCGCTGTCATTCAAAATGAAAATAGATTATTTCAAACACATTGCAGCCCTGTCTAAGAATTATTCAAGGATGTTATTGTTGTAAGAATGTTAAAGGTGCTATTTTTTCTCATTGACTAAATTTACATCCATTTTCCAAATGTTCTAAAATGAAAATGTTTAACTTTATTTATTTATTTATTTTTATTTTTTTATTTTTATTTTTTTCCTTTTTGTCTTTTTTTTACTGACTGGTAACGGGATTGCAACCCTCGGTGTTGCACCCGCACTGCACTCAGCCAGTGAGCGGGAACCGGTCTCCACATGGGATCCGAACCCTCAGTGGGAGCGCTGCCGCACTCCCAAGCGGCGCACTCTCCAGTGCGCCACCTTGCCGGCCCGAAAATGTTTAACTTTATGACTAGCAAAAGTTGTTTTATTATGAAATAAAGCATACATACAAGAGTAATAAAAAAAATTATGTACAGTTCTAAAATCAGCAATAAACACCTATGCACCCAGCACAAGATTAGAAATAGGCCATTAACATATCCCAGAAGCCCCATTCTGTGCCTTCTCTAATTGCTTCCCTTTCCCTTCCCTCCAGAGGTAACCACTGTCCTGTATTTTGTGCTATATAGTGTCTTCCTTTTTTATGCTTTTTTTTTTTTTTACCACTTATATACTTGTATACCCAAACAATACATTATTTAGTTTTGCCTAGTTTTAAACTTTATATGAATGGAATTGTGCTGTTATGTTTTCTTCTATGACTTGCTTCTTTCACTCATAATTATGTTTTTAAGATTCTTCCAGGTTGATGTGTGTACCTGTGGTTCATTTCTGCTCTTACAGAATATTTAGTAGGAACATACCATAAGTTATTTGTCCATTTTACTGTTAATGAGTAGTTGAGTAATTTCCAACTTTTTGCTATTATGTCCAGTTCCTGCTATAAATTCCTAGTATTACATTTGTGAGAGTTCCTGGAAGGCATATACCCAGAACTACTGGGTTGTAGAGCATGCACATGTTTATTTGCAAACTGATTCAGAAGTGTTCAAAACTTGTTTCATATTCTAAAATCTGATAACATTTTATATTGCCTTGTTTTTAAAAATAATTTTGCCAATTTTATGGGTGAGATAATGGTATCTCAATGTGGGTTTAATTTGCATTTCCCTGACCAATGACTGTCTTTTCATGTTTATTTTCTGGGCCTTTCATCTACTATAAATTCAATTATTTTTCCCATTTGTCTACAGGTTTACTTTTGTCTTAATGATTTATAGGACTTGATACCTGCAAGATATATATTCATAAGTCTATTTTCATGTGTTGCAAACATCTTCTTCCAGTTTGTAGTTTGGCTTTTCTTTCTTTCTTTTTTTTAATGGTGTCTTTTGATAACTGGAAGTTTTCAATTTTAATACAATCAAATTCATCACCCATTTCTTTTCCGATCTGTGCTTTTTCATTCTTCTTTCAGAAATCTATCCCTACCCCCAAGGGCACAAAGACATTCTATAAATGTTCTTCTGAGAGTTTTTGTTTTGCCTTTCATATTTAGATCTTTGATCTAACTGAACTGATTTTGCTGTGAGGCAAAGATCCAATTTTACTTTCTTCTCTATAGATAAACAATAATGCCAACTCCATGAATTAAAAAGTCCATTATTTCCCCACTGTTCTGCAACACTATCACTGCTGTATGTCAAGTATCCACACACACTGCTTGCTCTGGGATTTTTGTAGGCACACTTTTTTTTTCATCCTAGTTTGGTAAGAGTTTTTATTGAGAAGTTTAGAAGATTTTTCTCCTTTAATCTATAAATGAAATATATCATTTATTATTTTAATGTTACAACAACTGTACATTCCTGGAACAAACCTAAGATGGTCAGAGAATTTTACTGGTGAGTTCAAAATACTGATGATGTATTTTTTAATACACTGCTGGATTTGGTTTGCTAATCTATAATCTTTTACATGTAGGTTAATGAATAAGATTTCCCCATAATGTTCTTTTTCATACTGTGATTAGCTAATTATATGTGTCAACTTGGCTGTGCCATGGTGCCCAGATATCTAGTCAAACATTATTCTGGATGTTTCTGTGAAGGTGTTTTTTGGATGAGATTGGATGAGATTGGGACTCTTCCAATCAGTTGAAGGCCTTTACAGGTAAAGACTGACCTCCCTTGAGTAAGAAGGAATTCAGCCAGCAGACAGCCTTTGGACTTGAACTGTAATACTGGCTCTTCCCTGGGTCTCCAGCCTGCTCGCCCACTCTGAAGATTCTGGACTTGACAGCCTCTATAATTGCTTGAGCCAATTCCTTAAGATAAATCTCTTTCTCTATATAAACACACATGCTATTGGTTCTGTCTCTTTGGAAAACCCTGACTAATATATTTTCTGTTATAAACTGAATTGTGTCCCCCCCTAAATTCATATTTTGAAGCCCTATCCCCCAATTGTGAATGTATTTGAAGATAGGACCTTTAGGGAACAAATTAAGGTAAAATGAAGTCATAAGGGTAGTTCCCCAGTCCAATAGGACTAGTATACTTATAAGAAGAGGAAGGGACACCAGAGATCTTTCTCTCTTCACAAACACACAGAGAAAAGGCCATCTACAAGCCAGGAAGAAAGGCCTCACCAGAAATCAACTATGACTGCATCTTAATCTTGAGCTTCTAAGTCTCTGTAACTGTGAGAAAATAAATTGTGGTTTTGTTATGATGGCCTTAGCCGACTAACACACCGTCTTTTCAGGTTCCCTATTTTTCTATCCTCTTATGATAGTATGTGATTTGGATACTGTGTTGTAGAATAAGTCTAGTAGTTAAGCTTGTTAATTACATTGTTAAAATCTTATATAGAATTACTGATTTTATCTCCTTATAAATTTCTGGGTCATACATTAAAGTTTAACTGTAATGGTAGCTTTGTATATTTCTTCTTTATATTTCCATTTTTTGTTTCATATTTTTTGGGACTTTGCTAATGCTGTAGACTGAATGTTTTTGTCCCCCCCGCTGCCCCCAAATTTATATCTTGAGGCCTTCCCCAATGTGATGGTATTTGGCCGTGGGATTTTTGGGAGGTTATTGGGTCATGAGGATGGAGCCTTCATGAATGGAATTAGTGTTTCCCAGTGGAATAGCAGGTTTCCTTATAAACCTTTGGTCCTCATGTTAGACACGTATTTCTGGCTTTCTACCTTATGATCATATCGTTCACCTGCATTTCCTGACACCTTGAGGAGGATCACGAACCTCATTCTGGCCAATGAATTATGTCAGGAGTGATGTGTGTCACTTCTGGGACAGATCATTTGAATTAAAGTGTGAGGCCCTCCAGAACTTTCTCTTCCCTCTGGCATGACAATCAACAGCACTCAAGATGGTGGCTGCTCCATCATATTGAATCTTTAAGTGACTATGATTAGCAAAGCCCTGTCTGCCAATCCATAATAATTATATACTATAAATGAGAAATAATCTTTTGTTTTTAAGCCACTAAATTGTTAGGGTTGACAGTTACAAACCTGAACTATCCTGATGATATTACAAGAAGTAATTCATTAATCAATAACAGATGAAAACTATATTTCCAAGCTGACACTAGAGTGATTAATGAAGGAGTTAGTCAGTTGGTCTTCCCTGTAGCATCTTAGACTGACAAAATGTCGAAAGGGATAGAATAAGAATAGGTCATTATTCCGTTTTCCAAATATTTTACATTTAAACTAAAAAATAAACCTAATTCCAAAGATAGGTGTTCTGGTTATCTACTACTGCATGATATACCACCCCAAACTTAGAGGATTAAAAAAAATTCTCTCTCATGGTTCTGTGGGTTGATAGCTGGGCATTTTTTGCTTGGGGTCTCTGTGTGGTTACAGTCAACTGGCAGCTAAGTCAGGAGTCAGCTAAAGGTTCAAATGAGCTGGATGTCTGGGATGGCTCATTCAAATGGCTGTCAGCTGATGCTGGCTGTTGGTTGCGAGTTCAGCTGGGGCTGGATCTTCATACTATGTAGGCTTCTTACACATGGCAGCTGATGCTACAAGGGAGCATCCCAAGTATGAGTGGCAAGAGGTAGAAGCTTCCAGGCCATTTCAAGTCTTTGCCCTTAATTGGAACAGCATTGTTTCCACAATATTCCATGGTCAAAGCAGTCATTGTGCCTGCCCAGATTAAAGAATTTAGAGAAATAAACTCTACCTCTTGATGAATGAGTGGTAAGGGCACATTGGAGACGGGAATTTGGGAATGAGAGATATCGTGTAGCCATCTTTGAGAAATACAATCTGATACTATGGGCTTGTATTCAAATTTTTGTAACTGAAGTAGTCAGATGCTAAAATTATGAGAGATTAAACCTACTGGATTGCTTAAATGATGTTTTGGAATAAAATATATAATACCACATATTTAAAAAGAGCAAACTCCTGGGCCGGCCCGGTGGTGCACTGGATAGTGCGCCGCTTGGGAAGCGCGGCGGCGCTCCCACCCGAGGGTTCGGTTGATGAATGAGTGGTAAGGGCACATTGGAGACGGGAATTTGGGAATGAGAGATATCGTGTAGCCATCTTTGAGAAATACAATCTGATACTATGGGCTTGTATTCAAATTTTTGTAACTGAAGTAGTCAGATGCTAAAATTATGAGAGATTAAACCTACTGGATTGCTTAAATGATGTTTTGGAATAAAATATATAATACCACATATTTAAAAAGAGCAAACTCCCTTCCATTTTTAAATACTCCTTGATGTAAACTAGTTCAGAAATCAGGATTTTATGAGATACTATTTTACCTATATGCTACCTCTCTTAGAATATTAACATCTCAAGTCCACTTGCATCTTTTATGATTATCCTGAGATCTACTTTTACAAGTATCTATGATAGCACATAGTGGGAATTTAATAAATATTAATTAATGATGCAAGTTATGATACCAGAAAACTCCTAAACTTAATAAATTCTATATTCATTAATTTTAACAAAATTTCAAAAAGTTGCAGATCAAAACTAATGAATGAAAGTAACCTTCAGTACATAGCATTGCTTCATGCATGTAATTTTTCCTTTTGTCTCTCTTATAAGTTACCAGTCTCCTCAAATAAATCACCTGCTTATTTGTCTATTTCTCCAAATTGATTTAAATCTCTGTGAAGTTAGGGAACATGTCTGTCTTGTTCACTATTGTATTCTTTATGCTTAGCACAAATCCTAGCACATACTAGGGACTAAAGAGTTGACCCTAGATAATAACCATATGTCTTAAACTTACATTTACAGTATTGCATAAGTTGTTTCTTTTCTTTCACATTCAAAATTTACTTTAAATAGACCTGCCCCAAATACTAGGTGTTTTTGGCATGGTTACTATAGTGAATGTGGGTCTAACTTAATAGTTTAGAGAAGTCAAGGCAAATGATGACAGTAACAAAGAACAAATTGAGACTGCTTATTAAAATCCTTTAAAAAGTGACATTAATTTACTAACAAATACCGTATTAGAGAGAGAATTCTAAACCTAAAACAGTATCTGGAAAAATAACTAGAACTAAAAGGCATATTAATTATTTAGTGGAATAACTACTTTATGCATTATTTTGTTCTTTTCAAAATCATGTTTCTATTTTGGTTACCTGCAAAGGAAGTAGAGGGTTCCAATGATAAGTGTTACTAGAAGAACAGCCAGTGCCACAAAAGCTGCAAACAGGTTACTCTTAGTTTGGATGCTGAAGCTTGGGAGAAAAACCTCTTCACAACGAGCTCCTGTATAATTTTCAATGCACCTACAGGATAAAATTTTAGATAAAGAATTGCATTCTCTGTTCCATTAGCTAATTTGGAAAGCAAAAGGCTTCCAGCTTTTATAAAGAAAAAGAAGACTAATTTTCAGATTGTGAACACGGAATAATAATTGTTATACTTAACTCAAAGTTATTATTTTGTATCTGGAATAGATGAGGATATAAATGCATTTTTCCTCAAAACTGTTAACTGGTTATTCCAGCCCCATTTATTAAATAATCATTTCCTTACCCATTGTTTAACAGTGCCTCCTTTAACATATGCCAAATCTGTATAAGTAACAGCATGTTCTTACTATTCTTCTTCAATGATCTATACATCTAATCTTGGGCCACTACCACACTGCTTCAATATTGATACTTTTAATACACTTTAATATCTGGTAGTTCTACTCCTTACCTTACTACTTTCCTTTTCTAAAATATTTATTTATGTTTTCATTTGCCAAATATTTTAAAGCCAATTACTTTTACCTCTCTAAAGCTATATGACAAAGAACCACAATCTTTGGTATTACCAATCAGTTCCTTTTTCCCTGTAAAGATGTTCAAAGGATTAGAAAACACAGAGACTGATATAAATTAATGAGAATGACACTGTTTGGCACCAGATCAATTTCATTATTTTGCAGATGCATTTAAAATAAAGAATATTTTAATATAAATTGATGTTTATAAAGCAACCCAAGAAGTTATGGAGTAAACTACACTTAGCAATAATTCTGTGTAAAAGAGCGTGTGTATACACTTTAAGCTGGTTTTACCAAAAATAGAAAGGTTGATTCTATTAAATGAATTCTCCTGACCACTTTCCAGCTTAGGTAGGTAATTAGAAATTTTATCTCTATTTCTCCTACTTAGACCAATGAGCATATCAGGCCTAGAAAGTTACATGTGAACTAATTACTAGCTTTGACAACTAATGTGATAGAATAATAAAGCAGTGTACAAATAAATAAGAGGAAATAACATCAAGATATAGCACAATGGATCAATTTTAGTTAAATGAGCACATGAAAGGTGTTCTATGAATTCAAGCCCTACCCAGTGTGAGGCAGTGGTGTTATTGGTGATAGCTTCCACTGTGGGTGTCAGTTTAAGTTAAGCAGCTCTCTAGAGTCTCTCAAACTACCATCGAGATGGGGCTGAAGAGAAATAGAAGGGAAAATTAAGGATAGAGTATGAGTGGCAAACTGAAATGCAAGTAAAAATATTTTGGGAAAAATCATAATTACCTAAAGTCTAAATATAAAATACCAATTTTTTCCATAGTTTAAGTCAGCTAAATAATCATTAGAAAAAAGATTAAATGAAAGTATTTTGTTTCTTTCTCCTCTAGCTCCACCTCCCACCTCCCAAAAGGGCAATAAATACACACCCATAGTTTAAGTCAGCTAAATAATCATTAGAAAAAAGATTAAATGAAAATATTTTGTTTCTTTCTCCTCTAGCTCCACCTCCCACCTCCCAAAAGGGCAATAAATACACACACACACCCCTAGAAAGTCAACAGAGATTGCCATCACAATCAATACCTGTGCCATCACAGTATAAACAAAGAAGAAAGGGGCAGCATTCCACACAGTAAAAAAACAGGTTCTAAATTTACTTTTCAAAAGTATCTTTAAAATAACAAAGAAATAAAAAATAAAAAGTCCTCTATAATTTTCCTAATTATTTTTTCAACAGATGTTAGTAAGTAACAATTATTTGTGACTTCTAAAGGTTTTTTTAAAGAAAAGTTTTAGCCACTGAAAGAAATTCCTGTCATAGTTTTAAAATAACTCTCCAGTTTTGAAATAATGTCAAAAATGGGCTCAGTTTCCATTCTAAAAAAAAATAATAATAACTAGAACCCTAAATAAATAAATCCTAAAATGAGCGAGTATAATTTTTTTGATAAGGAAGATTTCTTTTTAATAAGCTATAAGTTTACTACTTGATTTTCAAGGAAGGCTACTCAAGTTTACATAAGATTGAACTTCAAAGAAAACAAGACATGCTGGCTGATGTAACTAACCATAAATGTTTTACCTGGACAATAAATACTTTGAGTTTGAAAAAGTCAAGAGAATGGTGTAAATATAAGTCTTATGGTTAGATCAGGATTTAAGCAAACAGAAAAAGGCATATAAAGTAAACCAATCAACACTAGAGTGTTCTATAGTCTTAACAGCCTGGGTAAAGCAAATGTGTGCTCTTGTGGGAAAGTAAAAGTGAGATAACTTTGAGCAAAGCAAAGTCAAGGGAAAACAAATCTTATTATTGTTTAGCTAGTTGAATCGGAATTTAGAGAAAGGCAAAGACAAATTTAAATATTTCTGTGTTATCCAAAATGTGTAGGATTGGCTAACCTACAAATGAATTTAAAATTTTCAGATATTTATCATACAAAAAAGTAAACACTGCCTACCAATGATTGTGTACAAGGATTCCACTTCTAAAGCTCTAGTTCATTTATAAAAATGTTATGACCTCACTTATGGCACAAATATAAAATTTCAGGCAACTATAATTAATCAACTTCTTTAAAGATAAATAAGGGTAAATTAAGTAGATACAGATAAGTGGTAGTACTAGGAGAAAAAAACACAGAAAGGTCAACTATTGCACCAGCATTTACGCAGAACTAAGTAGTTTTCACTCTTTATGTAAGTAACTCTTGCTAAATTATTTCTGGACCTCACTTCTGCACAGACTGCCAAGTAGCAAACAGTTATGCCATCTAATGAGGTGAATAAGTAGCACTAAGGGATCACGCACATTTTCCTGGAATTGAAGATTAATTCTGGATGGAATAGGTACAAATGCTCAACTAGGTGAGAAACTCCAAAACTCAGAATCCAATTTATATGTGTTAGTTTTCTGACTGAATACCACCAACAATCTGATGCTAAACACAGAAGCAATGTTCAGTACATTGGACATGAAATATATTCATTATATTCTTCAGCATTCAAGGTAAGTTCTTACAACATTAGAGACCTTTAGCATGAATAAAAGAACAAAGGTTTTAATCATGTACGCCAACAGAGTGCCATTTAGCTTCAAGAAAGAATATCGGACTGTGAGGTGGAAAAATCTAGTTTCTTGGCCCCACTCTTGTGCTTGTTGGCTGTGTGATCTTGAGCAAGTCACGTAAACTCTCCAAGACTCTATAAAATCAAAATAACAACACCTGATTTAACTATTTCATAGGGCTAGGGTCAGAAGCAAATAAGATGATGTCTATAAGTGCTTTGAACATTGAAATGTACTATACAAGTGAAATTGAAATGAAAGTAGTCACTTTGCAAAGGCCATGTTTACACCTAATGTTGAACTAGAGGGAATATAATGCCTAATAAAGATTATAGATCTTTAAGATTAAGATCTTTAAGATTATAGATTAAGAACATGGCAATCAATAAATAAGCTACTATTATTATTAAATATTTCTCAGAAACAAGAAACAAAGTTTATATTATAAAAAGAGTTTGCTAACTAAAGAGAGAATCCATGTCAATACCAGTTCACTTGGGCTCATCTTTCCTGGAAAGAAAAAGTCTAATACTGGAATACCCTAATGTTGACTTCCATTTGACCAATACTCTGTGGCAATCAAAGTTCAATCTGAAACTCATAAAAATGGAGAAAACAAAACAAAAATATAATAAAATAAAATAAAACAATGAAAATCTGAAACTCATAAAAATGGAGAAAACAAAACAAAAATATAATAAAATAAAATAAAACAAAACTATTAGAACTGTTCAAGAAAACACTGACAACATGGGCTTGGATCTCTTTAACACTCAAGGGCCATACACAAATGTAGCAAAAATCCTACTTAACTTCTACCAGATTTTTATAGGTCAAGAACTTAGGGAAGACTGGCTCACAACCTTTGCCTCTTTTATTAGCTAGTGCATAAACACAATTTCATTAAGCATTTATTAGATTCTTAATAATATCTAGAGATATTTAGCTAACACTGTCTTAGAAAAATTTTGTTGTGTTTATGATAGTACCACCATTAAAAATTGACAATTATTAGCACTTCGAATGTTTTAGTATAATTTAAGTCCAGTTAAAAAGCAAAATCTTACATTCTTTCAAGATTGATTGCTACCCAGATAATTCATATGCTGAAACGAACTATACATTGTTTCTGAATATAAATGATAAAACAGTCTGCATAGAGAATAATCCATATTTCTCACTACACAGGGTATTGTTTATACTTTTATCATGAAGGATTACAATTTTTTAGCTTATGTAAATCACTGTAAGAATCTGAAATGTTTTATTTACTGAAACTAGCTAAAGCACAGTGAATGAAGGAAGCAGGTCAAACACGCGGTGAGAGTAAGCCAACAGTAATGTAACAACATCACCTTCATTACTGTGTGCATGCACTGGCCAATTTTCTCCAGTGGACTTTTTGGGAGACACAAGGAATGCTGCTTGTTTCACCAGATTACTAAGGCAGAATTTTGTGATTTGTTAATTTTCTTCATGTTTTCTTCTTTCTCCATATTAACAAAATAAGTCACTCAAGTCTTTGTTCTCCATATTTTACCTGCCTCAATAAAAATGATCAGGGAGGAAATCTAAAACTGCTCTAAAAAGTAAAGTCTATTTATTTAAAGAAAAAAATTGGAAGAATAAGTAAAACTACAAACAAAAAGTACATATATATTTTTCATAGTATATCACATTATGATTCTTACTATAAAAAATATGCACATATATACTCGTATATACAAAGTATTTATTTATACATAAAAATTGGTATATGTCTGTTTTCCCTTTCTTTTAAATAATAATTTCAGTAAATATAAAATTGTATTTAAATATTATAAATATTATATTAATGGGCCTTCCAATTGTAGAGAGTTTTCACTGTTCATGTTTTGGTAAAACTTTAAGGCTTCATCAAGACCATAAACCAGGATCAGCTAGAAAGACTTATGCTCTCAAATCACCAGACACTCAATTAA